CGAATCCCAGATTAAGATGACATGCACCAAGATGGCCATCTACACGAACGTTTTGTGTGTGTGTGTCCGCAAGTTACCCTGCTGAACGACATACTGGACAATGCTGTTTTCAAGTTGCCCAGCCGATAATGACATATGCTCGGGCAAGTCTGCGATGTGGATGGTTAAATTACTCCAGAGGAGTAATGAACGCGCCTCCAATCTGGTTACAAAATGTCGGTCAGGAGCCCATGTCGGTGCAAGAAAACGAAAGCTCCATCATTGTTGCGTCTCAATATTCATTTTAATGCTCTCCGTGTAGCGCTGGTGTCCTGCCGGAGTCTGCAACTGAACTTCCCATGGAAGGTTCCAGTCCCATGCAACACACCCACCACTTCCCGTAAAGTGGCACTTATTGCATTTCCTCTGGAGGCATGATGGGGATGAGTAGAACGTTCTAGATTTAAAGCTTTCGTGACTGCTAGGATCCATACTCTTTGGTTCTATTTTATTGGTTCTATTTTATTTTCACCTACGTGACTTTACCCAATAGAACCAAAGAGTATGAGTAGAACGTGTTTTGTGTTTAGTTTGTTGTCCTTCCCCCGCAGCTGCGATCGGCACGGTTGGCTACGTACGGTGCGAGATAAGTTCAACATGCGTACATGCAGATGGCTTACGGCTTCGGAAAGCCTCTGTTCAACAGTGGATAGACCATGGCTGATTAAAGTGATGGTTCGGTGTCGTGTCGGTGTTGATGCGCAACGTGGACGCAAAGGGGACGGCTGTTTCGTGGTGTGGGTTGGGTAAATAATTAAAAAGCAGCAGATTCAGCGCGGACCGCCAGGTGGCGCAGATTGCTCTATCTCAACGAGATATTCCACGCGTCATTACCTTCTTCCCTTCTCGTCGATTTCCCTCGGTAGTTTTACGAACATTGAACTCCTGATGACTCCATTTACAAGGAGCATCTGATCTATCCCGAGCGGAAGATCAATCCTCCCACTCCCCCATAGCCGGCGAGGTCTCGCCGCACACAACACATGTGCAAGATGTACACGACACAACACAACGTGGGAGTGGTGGTGCGAGTCAAAACAATGTATGATCATTTTTGCACGGTTAATATCTCCACCGCCTCCCCCCACCCTTACGGTCTCCCCAACCAGAGAAGACTTCATCCGGGACCCCTGTCTGCGCATATTGGGGGCACGGAGCTCGTCGTCAATCAGAGACGTTCCCGCTTGCCTTGCCCCGCGGGCTGAGTGTCGAAAATAGATCCGGAGCAAATCACAACCGGGCACATGAGCTCATTCATTGGGGTGGGGTGGGTGGAAGCAACCCACCCACGCTCAACCTGTTGCTGCTCACGGAATCCTCACGGTCGATAATAGAGACGGTGGGGGGTGGGGGGATGATATTTCTATCCACGAGCCTGGCTGGGTGCGATGGACCGCGGCGATATGTGGAGGAAAACAACATTCCAAGCGGCCCATCGATGTCTGAGCGACGACTCCGAATGCTCACGGTTAATGACGCTCGCGTTTTAAGAAGGCGGTTCACAGTTATTATATTTGCAATGATTGGAGCCGTGGCTCCAGTGGTTTCGCACTGCGTTATGAACTTGATCTATCAATGGATTGACGAGGTCTTTACAACTCTTGGCAACGTATATGTTTCGGCGGTGGCAGTCAACGGAAAGAGAAGAGAGGATGGCCCTCCGCGGAGATCGAGGGATGATGATGGTTCGATCGTCGCATCACAACGCACGTTTGTCTAGCAACGAAGAGACCAGGGATGACGATAGTTGTTTTATGATGTCTCGTGTACCTCGCATGCGGGACATTTTGATGCCGCGTTGGTCGTGATGCACAAGAACGAATGACGAAACTCGACACATACGTCAATAGCACTGCTTTTAAAAGGAACACATAATAATCAGCCGCAGCGTTTTGTGCTAATACATATTACAACTACAATTGCTCACAGAGGAGACACATACTAATTCACTGATTACTAATCTATCATGTAATTACAATAACCCCCCCTCCCCTCTGATCTCTGCACCTGATGGGTTCAGTGATGACGTCGTCCTGCTCTATTTAAGACCCGAAGCAGGTGGATGGCTTCACTATTCTAGCAAATCGCCCGATGACGCTGGATGCAATTACCAGCGAAACGTCGTACTACTCAAATTGGAAATGTTGTGGATTTACTCTCCAACACACCGGTGGGCTGAAGTAGTAACTATGTGGCCCGTTGTTTACGTGGCAATTCTTACTGGCTGTGTCGGGTGGTGGAGGGTTACGGCATTTATACTTACGCGATCTAACCAAAAACCTTTATTACGCATAATATTGGTCGCGAAAGCCCACGTGTTAAACTGGGCTACGGCCCTTCTTCATAAAACATGTGCTATGGGCCATAGCGCACGCGCCCCAAAATGTCGCCTATTATTATAGACATGTATCATTTAAAGGCCGTTATTGACGAACGTGAGAGGCTTTTTTTACATTATATTCAGAGATTTATAGAAAACGATTTCGCCAGTGGGTGGCGCTACAGTAGTGCCGGAGTGCCGTACCATTCAACTGTGACACATTTGTTGATGTGTGTAATTTCTCATCCAATATTTTGGAACGTCTTCCTCGCGCGCATGCTTTCGGTGCACGTACCTTCGTGTCAATGATGGCGATGAAATAATTCAAACCGATGATTTTTTTTATTAATGAGAATCGTAAGTGAGCTTGGGCGGGACACGTCGCTTGAAGGGAATTAATTATTGATGGTAGACTGTGAAGAATGACTGGAGTGGCAGCCAAGGAAAAGAACGCGTCTGCGAGGTCATAAAACCGAGGAGATGGAGCGATGGAGTCAGGTTGTGTACAAGCGCTGTGTGGATTATTACTTCGCGGTACCGTGGAAGTTGTTTCTGGGGTGGGCGGGAGAGGACTTCATTCAGCAGTGAATTTATCATGGCTGATGACGATAACCTCGGGCACATGACGTGAGTAAATATACATGATGAAAAATAAGAAGAGGCTTTTCCCCTTTTGGCAAAAAAACCTGGTGTTAAGATGTTCAAACACCAAATGGATACCTATTGCAAGGCATCAATTCGGCATTAACCACAATTACTTGTGGCAAAAAATGCAAACAAACATGATCTGATAATATATGCATTGTCTTTGAAACCGATCGGCAGACTTGATCCCTTGCAATATATTTTTATTTGGTGTTTGAACAACTTAACACCTGCTTTATTGCCGGAAAGGGTAAAGCCTATTCTTTTTTTTCCATCGTTTCGATTCTGGCGAAAAGGTCCCATAAATATATGTATATAAAACAATCTCACGCTTTTAACAAAAGCTCGTCACATTCGTCAATAACACTGCCTTAAAAGGAAAGAAAAATATAATAGGCGACTTTTGGGCAATGGCCCTTCTTCAGAGCAAAGCGGCCAGAAATGTCGAGTGGATAAGATCTGGACACGGCACAATACGGTTGGGTTCACCAACTCCTTGAGATCGATGAAAAATGTTTCGGCTGAAAAGGTTTCGGGAAAGGCATGTTAAATCTCTCCAGGGTCTTCAATGAGGAAACGCATCTCTGGAAGTGCCCCAAGAGCATGTGTGGGCTATACGCGAGATCTTTGTAGCAGTGGAGTGGTTATAATTATCAAACTGCGCTACAAACCTGGCCGCCTGATTTCGATTCCCGGCCACGGCTAACATCGGTGGGGAGCGATATCAGAAACGGCCCCATGGACTCCAGTAATGCGACTCCGCCTTAAATGAGTACCTGGTGCAATGTGTAGTAAAACATGAATCCCTAATGGAGAGACAAAAGCGGCCGGACGTTCTGCTGCAGATAATATCCCCTCGTGCGCCACGCCACTCTTAATAGGCGCTCGCTGACAGCACTTGCCCAAGCCAAGGATGTGCCGGTGGAATGCATGATGGACAATGCTACACGGCAACGCACTCAGAAGTGCTTTTACCACGCTCCCATTGAATTGATGTCCCTCCACTTAGGCGATAACATAGCACCCTCGCGATACAAATTGTTGTGAAGGATTAGCTTCACAAACGTGCGTGTATGTCTAATGGGCCGTCGGCGCAAACGCAGGCAATAAGAGCAGCGTATGTGTCTTTTTTTTGGGTTTCATAAATGCGATCGTGTGTCCGATGCTGCTCGTTTTCTGTTATGTATCGTCACGTAACATCATCACCACCATCACAATAGCCATCATCGGGGAGAGAAGATGAAATCGCCTTGGGTGGTGAGATGACACGAACGGTACAGCACCCGCTGTGCAGATCGGCAGTGCGTGTATAACGGTGCGGTCAAGATGTGCACACGCAAGCCGTGTACATGCATGCACCAGCGTGTTGCATACCTTCACTTCCGAACATGTGTTATGATAATTTGCAGCCTTTTTTGTAAAGCCACTGCTGTATAAAGGACTTAACCACGCCGAGTCGGTAAAGGGTTTTTTTTAAAATTATTATACTTCACGTTTGGTTAGTCCGAGTTGATGTTCGGTGGGGGGGGGGGTGTCTACATGCATTTACACAACCAATATGCACAAGTTAACAATATGCACAAGTTCACGTTGGAAACAACTACAATAACAACACAACACTCGTCATCTGAAACGATTGCCCATACGGTTCGGTTCACTTGAATGTAGGCACACATTTAAATCCCAGCAATGTAAAAGACGCGCCTCATGCGCCAACGCGCGTTTGTAGCGAGCGCCCTTTTGCGCAATTTTATCGCTTCTTGGGAACCGGCTGCGTGTTACGAACTCCGCGTGGGCAAGCGCGAGATTGCTCACGTGTGTCAGTGTGTGTGTGTGTGCCAGTGTGTGCCAGTGTGTGTGTGTGCCAGTGTGTGTGTGCCAGTGTGTGTGTGTGCCAGTGTGTGTGTGTGCCAGTGTGTGTGTGTCAGTGTGTGTGCCAGTGTGTGTGTATGCAAGAGAGGGAATGCGAGTGAGAGGAGTGAGTATCGGCACCCACCTTACGATGACGTACATGACGAGAACGTTGCCCACGAGGCCGACCACGCACACGAGCGAGTAGAGGATGGGAATGACTATGGCGATGGTGGACGGGGTTGCCGGGTTGTCGATCTCGGGACCGTCGTCGTCGTTGTTGGTGTTGTGGCAATGCCATACCGGCGCGCCAGGCACGGGACTGCCGCTGCTGCCGTTGTGTGTGGCAGGCGGCCAGTCCCAGGAGCAAGCCAGCAGGCTCTGGTTTGTGGTAGCATTTTCCACGTCTAATTTCGGGTTAAAACTATCCATGTTAGAGCCGATATGTTTTTTTTTTAGGCTAATTTCCTAAAGCAAAAACCAAACCCCCACCCCCCCTCCCCCCAAACTAATACTCCGTCGTGATAATTACGCACACGTTGTGAGACCTAGAGTTGAAACATTCACGTGGCATTTAAAATGTGGATATGTATAGAGCACGCTGTGTATGTAACGTGGACTTATACAGCCTGCAGGAAAAATGTGACAGCAAACCCGTCGCTAACCAGCAAGTTCTACAGAGAGCACCCCCTCCTAACTTTTAAATGAACGGTCGCTGCAGTTAAGCGCCGGTGTTGAGTGATGGCGGTAGAGGCTACAGGTTTCGGAGGCGTGCCGCACTTTCAGATGAAACCATTCGTGGGCAAACAAAAGGACGATGACCAACAACCACCACCAACCGCAACTGCCACGGCCAAGACTTTACAGGTGTCACGCGCTTGGTCACTCGTGGTGGCAGTGTCTCCTGCTACCGTCTGGAAGCGCATAAATTGCGAAGGAAATGATAATGCGCTGTGACGTCGCGTTGATGCGTTTGGTAATGGGTGGGAAGTGTCTCTCGCTTTTCCCACCCCCTTTACATTTCACATCCCTCCAAGCGTCACATCTCGGGGTGCTCCCGTGAGCCCAACAACAACAACAATCAATCTCAATGACATGTTAACGTCCTCCTAAAAATCGCATTGCAACGAATTACAGTGATCAACTGCCCTTAATTCATGAGAATGCCATCACTTATATTACCAAAATTGTATTTAGCTACACGCATGCATCTTACAATATACGACGGAATGTGTAATATGTTTTTTGTAAAGTCGTAAAATAAAATTCGGAAATTTAAAATGCTCACTGAGAATCCACCATATATATGGCAGACTGCGATGGGTTTTTTTTTACTTCTCCATTGCGCACAAATAAATAGAAATGATCACAAGGGGTCCTCCTCCTCCCACACGACCAGCCGAAGAGACGCAGCATTTCGCTACTCCAGGCGCATCGGTGCAGCCTGCTCATTGCGCTGCAACAGGATCAACATGAATCTGCGGCGGAATGAACGATACATTATGTTAATTCTTTAGGCCCGTATACGGGGTAATTGGGCGTAGCTTTGCCCATATAAGGCATACTGGAACGGGAATAGACGTATTTCTAACGATGCAATGCTCGATGAAACGAGAATCGACCGATTTTTTACGATTCTAAGCTTGATCCATGCTTGATCCAAAACGCCCATATTAGGCTGTGCCTTGTTGACGCTGATTGGCTTCCTTCTGTATTAACAAAATGTATCATTCCATCTGTTGCAGATTAATTGTATCCTGTTACGGCGCGTCTTTGCCGTCCGCTGTCCAATGTCTATACAATCGCCGTATTAGTAGCCGTCACTGTTGTTTTTAAAGCTGATGTGTTTTCAATATTTCGGAAAAAAATAAATCAGGCGTGCACAGTTGTGGTGTTTCTTTGCACGTGGTGCAGTATTGCATTTCGGAGTGGCAGCACGACCTGTGCGTAAATAATTTTAGTTAAAAAAAATATTTTTTGTCATGGTCAGTCATGTATTAAGTGGACTCTGGTGGGACCACGAGGGGGAAGAAAGGGTGGACGGGGGATTGGCAAAGAGGCAATTCCCCCCGTCCCACCACCCCCTACTAAAAAAAATCCCGTGAACGGGGATGTATAAAACTATTTACTCAACGGTAAAACAACAGCAAAAAGTGTCTTATTAACACCGAGACAGAGGAGCGTGGATTGGAGAGCATACACAAAGTTCGATATATCATATTGACTGTAAGCAAAGTAGATGGGCCTGGGATGAACACGTGTCGCTCGAACGGGTGGTCGAGTCTCATGACGGAATGGCAGCCAAGGGAATGCAGCGCATATCCCCACTCCCCTGCCCATGGAGATGGAGTGGTAAAATTGGATCGTTTGCAAGAAGTTAGGTGAATTGTTACAGCGCAGAAAGCTGAGAGCTCGCTAAAGCTTGATGAACTCTTGACTTGAAATTTCGTGACCGCAGGAATTTATATTCTTTGGTTCTTTCGGTAACGTCACGCAGATAGAAACATAATAATAAACTATTAATGTAGATTGTAGCCTAGTTCTTAATCGGAGTGAGTGTACTGTAAGTCTATAATGTAGACTGTAGCCTGGTTTTTAGGCTTGGTGAACTTAATAAACAGGCTACCGTCTATATTATAAACTGCCAGTAAGTACACTCACTCCGATTAAGAACCAGGCTAAAGTCTATATTAATGTTTTTTTATTCTTTTAAGTTTTTATTAAATTTTCATCATTTTTTTATTCACTTAATTTTTATTATATTTTTTTCTATCTACGTGACTTTACCGAAAGAACCAAAGAACTTGAGACACTTGTTCAACGGTGGATTGTTGATGGATTATGCTTAACACGTGCTTCTCATATTAAATGTTCCACATTGCCTAACGTTACAAACCGCGTGACATCAAGCAGACATCCCATCGAGTGTCCTCATCCAGCCCAACCGCCTCGTTCCCGATCCCACGAGCCACAGCGACCCCCCCTCCACCTCGCTGAACGCGATCACGCGTGTCCCTTAATACGTATGCAGCGAGACCCCTTCGTCGCTACGCCCTCCGTTGTAACTAAGGTTCTTAAGCGGCCTCAGTCACCGCCTGGTACATTTAGCCTCGTTGGGGCGCAGCCCTGCAGTTGCTTGCTCGCTCATGCCACACTGCTGGCAGAAGGGCCTTCAACTTGAGAGGGCTCTGGAAAGGTAGGTCATCCCTCTTTACACGGCAACTGGAGATGCGGAATTTCACGACAACGTAAATTATTGATCACGCGCGGTGATGCACTTTTCAGGATTTCGCCATTTTCAACGTTCTTCAGTAAAAGTAAGTCACGATGTTTGAAAAGTGACCATTAAGTGCAAGTGATAGCAGAAGCGGACAATATATGGTAAAGCAATGTAGATATATTGTCTACATATATTTTTTTATTTTACGACTTATTTTGAGTATTATTAACATTTTATGAAGTTATAGTTTTCCCAGTAAATATGTGCTTCATGAAGGTTTGCCGTATTCCTCTCAGTGTGATATTATTACGTCGTGAGGCTAATTTTTGTTCAGAGGAACGCATCTCCAAATATCTAATGAAAGCCGATGGAGAAATAGAGTTCGATATACGGAATTTGGCTTTATGGACAACTATTCAGGAATGTATCTGCTCCGTATATCAAGTGATGCCCTATTTACAAAATTAGTGTTTTATATAATTCACAAGTGCCCATCCATCTATCACTATCTCCCACACAGAAGGTTGGAAGAAAACATGACTAAAGCAAAATAAATAATGCTATTGCTGAGGATATTCCTGGAATATTGTCAGATTTCAGAATTTTCAACGTTTTTTGCAATTATTAATGGCTGCATAATAAAGGTTTTTGGGTTAGATCGCGTTATTTATAAATGTGTCGTAACCCTCCACCACCCAACACGGCCAAACAGTAAAAAATAGTGTCACGTTTACAAAGGACAAATAGTTCACTACTTTAGCCCACCGGTGTGTTGACGAGTGAATCAACATAATTTAAATTTGAGTACGACGTTTCGCTGGTAATTACATCCAGCATCATCGGACAATTCGCCAGAATGGTAAAGCCCTCACTTGCTACAAGTCTTAAATAGAGCAGCAGGGTGACGTCATCATTTAACTCATTCAGGTGCAGTGATTTGAGGCGGAGGGGGGGTATTGTAATTATATAATCGACACACATTACAACTAATTACCAATCTACAACTCATTACTAATCATAACCATTGACTGATTACCAATCGATTATATAATTATAAATAACGCGATCTAACCCAAAAACATTTATTATGAATAATATTGGTCGCGAAAGCCTACGTGTTAAACTATTAATGGCTGCTTACAAGTAGGCCAGCGAGTGCCTTTGGCAAAGGAAGATGCTACCACCATGCAAGATTTGTCATCTACATAAGCCCATGTGAACCAACGTTTTGCAGGAAAGTTCAAGCAACCAGGAAGATTTCGGTGCTCTTAGTTAGATCACCTTCACAATTTCTCGTAGTAGAGTCCAGTACGTACTCTTTGGTTCTATTTGGTAAAGTCACGTAGGTAAAAAATAAAATAACAAAAATCACGACGTTTCGGCCACAACACAAGCGGCCTGGAGGACAGCGCTGTCCTCCAGACAGTCTCGTCCCTTCACCTGATGAAGGCCGCTTGTGTTGTGGCCGAAACGTCGTGATTTTTGTTATTTTATTTTTTACCTACGTGACTTTACCCGTCCCTTCACCTGATGAAGGCCGCTTGTGTTGTGGCCGAAACGTCGTGATTTTTGTTATTTTATTTTTTACCTACGTGACTTTACCCAATAGAACCAAAGAGTATGGATCCTTGCAGTCACGAAAGCTTTAAATCTAGAATAGTCCAGTACGTGTTCGTGTAATGCTGTTGCAGATGCATTCCGAGGGGGTCATGTCACTGAAGTTATATGCGATATGTTATCTTCATCGTCTAGTATGGAGGAGGCGTGGGTTCAATTCCGACCCGGACACCTGTGTATTTGGAGTCTGCAGGTTCTCCCCGTGGTCGCGTGGGTTTTTCTAATGATCCTCTGGTTTTTCCCTCCAAATTTAGAATCAACATGTATTTAGAATATATGGCTGCAATACATTTCCACAGAAGCCACTTCGTTGAGCTTTTACACTATGTATCACAATTTTTGTTCCGGGGTAGTAAGTGTTATTTCGTAATTGCTTATGCCTTAAAAGTATAGAAAATGGATATTATTCCCCACAAACTTTGCTTTTGTGACCAGGACAGTGATGTGTTTTTTTATTTGCCTATTTTCAATGAGAAAACGGGCGAATTTGTGTCAACAACATGAATCAAAATGAATATATATATACAAAAGTAATACAAAAATGACTACAAAAGATTTGGAAATGAGTAGTTTTTCGAGATTTACGATTATACTGTAAATCACTTTCACGCATTAGCCCCAAATGTAGTCTCCCATCATGTTCTCGTTATACTGTCCTTGGTAGCGGCATTCAAAGTCCAGTATATCCTGGTGGAAGTGATCGCCTTGCTCCTCCGAGTATGCTCCCATGTTCTCCTTGAATTATCAAGATGAGCATCAAGGATATGGACTTTGAGGGACATCCTACAGCCCATTGTGCCGTAGTTCTTCACCAGAGCCTCAACCAGCTCCACATAGTTTTCGACCTTGTGATTGCCCAGGAAGCCACGAACCACTGCGACAAAGCTGTCTCCTTACTAGTGAGCTTCTAGGGGAATTCATTGCACTCCAGGATCTTATTTATCTGTGGTCCGTCGAAGACATCGGCTTTGGCCTTTGCCTCAGACAGCTTAGGGAATAAATCTTGAAGGTCCTCTTTGGGTCTTTACCGAAAGACCCAAAGAGTATGAATTTCTGCAGTCCCGAAATCTTTAAGTCAAGATTTAAGTCTTGAAGGTACTTGAAGGCTCCCGACTCCTTATCTACAGCTCTGACAAATTGTTTCATAAGGCCCAATTTGATGTGCAGTGGTGGCATCAGCACCTTCCGGGGGTCCACCAGTGGCTCCCACTTGACGTTGTTCCTCCCCACAGAGAACTCGGTCTGCTGTGGCCAGTCCCGCCTGTGGTAGTGCCCCTTGGTCTCTAAATCTTTCGTAGTCATATTTGTATTACGTTAGTATAAATACATGTTAATTTTGATTCATATGTTTTTTCTGACTTTATGTGAACAAAAAGACACAAATTCGCCAGTTTTCTCATTGAAAATGAGTAAAATTCAAAATATCATTGTCCTGGTCACAAAAGCAAAGTTCGTGGGGAATAATAGCCATTTTCTGTACTTTTGGGGCATAAGCAATTAAGAAATAACACTTTTTACCCAGGAACAAACAACATTTTTTTGTTACACAGTGTTATTTGTGGCCAGGGCACTTCTGAAAAATATCAATATAGTTCAGTGGGCCTTACCTGGTATAATAAAAAATAATAAAAAATATTTTAAAATCGTTTTTTTAAATATCCTGTGCAAATGCAGGGGTGGTACTAGTCTCTTATAAAGCATCATTAGTGACGATAGTGTATTTTTTTTATCAGTTACCGGAAATTACAATTTCCAAAGGTTCCAAATACAATTCCACGTAGAGAATGTCTGACAGAATTCTAAATGTGTTTTTTTTTTGCAATGTACAAGGTTAATTAAATGTATCACAATTTACAGTGCATGAATAGCGGTGGCACTGTGATGAATTCGGTGACCTGAGTCAAATCCCGA